TGAATACGATCGACCGAGTTGTCGATATTGGTCGTCGCTTAGTTTAGCTTGTCCGTCTTATTAATAAAGGAGCCAAGGGTATGTAGTATATGAATGTAGCTATGATTAAATTTGAATGTACCTATTAGGAGTATCCATGGAGGCAAAGCAGCCTGTGTACGACCACGTTGTCGAGTGCAACCTGTAATTTGTCCGCCGACCACATGACTGATTGCCAATGTTTTCACAATGAGAACTTCTATTTGACAATGGCTGAGAGCCAAAGGCATGCTTGCAGTGAAGGGTCAGAGAGCAGCGAGATCGACGTTTCCCCTGTCCGATTCGGACTGAGAGGTTTGCCGGTAGTAGCACACATATCCAACCAGACAACAGAAGTGTCTCTCGCTTCTGAATCACCTTCTGTCGCACCGTACAACCTCCGTCGGACACCCAGTCGTGTCCAGCGTTGGCAGCGGTTGGGAACACAGGCTGCATCTCCAGCACACAGCCTCCGGCAGCACAAACTAGATTTTGAACAGGTATTGGCGGCTGTACTGGAGGAGCAGAACGGAAGCGGTGATGGTGATAGTAACGGCCCACCCATGGTCTTGGGCACTCCTGCAGCGGAGGGCACCCAACATGGCCACTCCCCAACCGTATTCAGCCACGGAAGCGAAAGTTTCAGCGTGTGGCTTATCCAGAATTGCCGAACAACACTGCCATTCGTGCACTGGTAGTGACAGCTTGCCTTCACGCACTTGACGTCAAGGACAGCAGCCCATCTGCCACGGAGACGGTAGTGAGGGAGATGCTCAGCAAGAAGCACGCTGACTTCACTGGGCCGTATGCCAGCAGGGAACAGAGGGCAGCAGCACCATTTCTTCCAACGTCCTTCAAGCAAGCACTTACCCAGCTTCAAGATGTGGGTGGTTGTCGATGGCCAAGGCTCATTCGGTACGACATGTGCCCCTGTGGGTTCATTTACCGTGGGCCCGAGTATCGGGGGGCTGATCATTGCGGGGGCATGGTACCTGGCCCGCGGGCAGGCGAGTGGATTGCCTGTCCAAAGATGCGCTCGGAGGCAAGATATCTGACCTATAACCCAATTGGCGGGTTCTGCGGGCGTGTCTTCAGCAACAAGCAGCTCGCGGAGGAGTTCTCCAGCTGGCAGAGCCCAGATCGGATGAGGCGCAAAGGGCAGCTGAGGGACATTTGTGATGCAGCTGTAGTCCAGGAACTGCTGGCCTCGGACCCCCGTTTCCGTGATCCCCGCTGCCTCGTCACAATGATTGCCTCCGACGCGTTTGTGGTGAGTTTGCTTGGATTTGGGATGGTTGGGTAGGCCNGGAGGATCGAATATGC